TGTCTGACTGAGCTTATGTCGATATGTTCGTGGAAATCACGATCGGTGAACTTCCCACTCACTTAATGGAAGCAATCAGAAGCCAATGGAACAGAGACGGAAGGGACGTTCCTTGGACGGCTCAGATCGACGAACAAGCGCATGGAGGGACGCTCGGACCTTTGACAAATATGGACAAACGACGATTCCGCCCACGGTCAACTAACGCCGGTCAGCACGCAATCGGTCTGAGGCTTCACTAACTGTCGGGCTTCACCTCACCCGCAGAACAAGAACAAAATCAATCCTGGCGGCTTCCCGCCGAAACCACAGTGTGGAGTGATAATGAGCAGACTCGCGCTTAAAGCACCCCGCGGAACACCATCGAAAGCGGCACCACGGTCACCGAAACAAAGCACATAAATTATTATTCCAATCGTTTATCATGGGAACATCGAGCAGCAGCAGCAGCACAATCGGTCATGAAACTGCCGACGGCTGCGGCACCCTCTGGACTCCTTTCAATAGGTGGCCCGAGTTCGCTGGAAGGGTTCTCTGAACGAAAAGTCTTCCGTAAATCTATCAACGCTTCAAACGTTCCCCGAAGACGGAAGAGCTTCTCTCGATTCGAGGAATTCAAGCGTTCTCCGTTCACGGCTCCCGAATGTGATAGAGAAATTATAATATTTACATGGAGCCAAGGTTTTCGTTGAAAAAAAAATACTCGTTCCGTTGTTGTTCTACGAGGCCAACTCCGCTGGGTGGTCTGTTTGAAGTGGAATGGCTCTATTTAGTGGAGTGGCACAGCAGCCGAAGACGTGGAGGTCCTCGAGCGGACAGACGATCGGACGAATCGACGAACGCTGGCCGCGGTGATGACGAGCTAAGTAGCAGTCGTTGGCCGCGACGGCGGCAGCCGCCAGTGCTGATGATGTGATAATTGGTATCTATTTAGAAATGATTTGTCGATCCGTTGAATGCACTGTGGATCTATCTGTTCCATTAGATAAACAAATAGAACTCTGTTCTCTGCTGTGTAATCACATCGGACATCGCTGCGGGCGAGGAATCCTCCCGCCGGACGTGCAAGCAGGCAGCGTCTGTCGATTTCCTTCGCATGCTCAAGTCGACAACATTCTCGAGAAAAAATGGATTAGCTCCTGCGATGAAGGAACGGGACGCTTCGCCTTGGCAGAAACTTCATTACGGAGTGATCCCCATCATGGGAGCAGCATCGCATTTCGGACCGAGAACGCATTATGTTCTTTGTTTGTTTCGGAATTCGTTGATCAGATTCCGGCGCGATCTTGGGGAGGCCACCTGTTCTCATAGCGGTCTCCATCATTGAGACCACGACCACCACAAATAAGCGCCCGCGACTTCACTCGCGAGGAGCATTCGGGCGCCCGCCGCCGCCGCCCACCGGAGTAATAAACTCTTATCAAGCCCATTGAGGTCATTCGATAACGATGCCCCTCCACCGCCTATTATAGTGCCTTAGGCCGCCGAAGCCTGCAGCAGGCGTCAACTGCCACTGATATGCCGGCCGCGGAGGCACTAAGCTTGTTCGGACCGATTCACTCGCAGATATCGAGACTCCGGGCCCACTGAGGAGAACTGAGGCGTACCGTCTACGGAGACGATCCTCCGTGCGAATACCGTATTCTCTTATGAATACCGGAGCTTCTACCGAAGCGTCTATGGTTCCCGGCTCGACCGGGAGCTCCGGAGAAATAACACAGGTAAAATTCCAGAGGAGGCTAACGGGGATGAATTCAAACATTTCTGGAAATACAGCCGTCGGCCTTCCGGCACCTCGAGGCAGATTTTTGTCTCATTCTCGTGGCCGACGGCGAGTCGTCACCGGCAATGAAGGAATAGTCCACCAGTTTCACCCCGAGGACCGACTGGATCGGCGCGAGTTATAGAGATTGATGTTCGGTGAAAGAGCGTTCCTCGAGGAAGAAAAGACGAAATCGACTGACCCGATGGGTACAAAGGACTTGGGAACCATCTCAGGTCGACTCCCGGCTGTTTGTTGGGCGAAGCTTCTCGAAGGACGCTGTCGGTTCGCCTTCTATCGCACCCCGTCCTACGACGTGTTTCGACCCGTGTCGTTGCTAAGTGGATGAAAGTACGTGGATGAACATTCAATCTTGATTAAAACGAGTCGGCTTTCATTTTGCTGCATTGTTGAGCATGTCCTTCCCGCTCCTCACGCAGGTCGAGAGACTCGTTCGGTTGACACTCTGAAACCGCGAGGAACATCTGTGTTCGGGTAAATTCTCAGAACTTCATCAGTCCCGGGAATGTCATCCCGAATATGTGTGTGAACGACCTTCTTAAAATGAGCCCGTCCTCCGATCATAAGGTCATAAGACGGAGAGCAGGATGATACGTATAAGCTCCCTCTCGGGCGGACGAATGTTACCGAAATTCGGTTTGGGATCAGAATGTAGCTATCTTCGATAAGGAGCTCCGAGACGCATTTACACCAGCTGTCCCCGCTCGAGTATAACCGAAAGCGCCGACGCAGCGGGTGTGATTTTTTTTCCGCCGCTCGGTTTGGAGGGAAACCAGGGAGCCTTTTCCAACAGATGCAATCCGCAAAACCTTATCCCTCACGTCTCTCGGAAGGTTGTCCTGAGCACGCAGGGGATGGGCAGATGCCCGGAAAATCGGTGAGACGAAGAGCGAGAACATCGAGCATCGTCCGATTGGGATGGTCCCCGGCCTCACCACGGGAATTACGGCATATTCCTCACCCGAATTCGGTAATCCAGGACGAGTTAAAGAAATTATTATACGTCTGATATCATTGGGAAGGGTGAATTTCTCTGAAGAGCAAATAGGAATTTATTCGACCGAATCCGTTCGGGTAGCTGGCGCCTTTTGAGACAAAGGAATTCTTTCTTTCACCGAACACAACCGTTCTCGTTCAGGAGGAAGGTATTCAAAGAATTGAGGCGAGCCGTTCGAATCAACAAACATTCGAGCGCGACATCGACCGGCTCGGAACACTGTTCCGACGAAGTGTCCGTTAGAATGCGGACGTCAGCCTACCTGCAACGATCCGTGGATACCTTCCCAATGAGTTCAGAGAACGCTTGGTGACGAGACGTCGCTCCAGAGAATCGGATCAGCTCTGGGATAATGTAATCGAAGTTGTGAAAGAACGCACGTAGGCTGTGCTCCCGAGCTCTTTCGAAAGACACTGTTGCAGTGCGGACGCGCACCTGCATTGCGTGAAATGAGACACGTCTGAAAACGGCAACCGAGACACAATCGAGAGTAGAATCCATGAGTTTATTAGCTTTTCCGCAGTCTGGCACTCGCTCCCTTCAAATTCAATTGACGAGCAGGCAGGTTGAACTTGAATGGCTTCGGTGTATTTCGCTCGCAGTTTGTAAGTAGCGAGGGAATTGCCTCTCCATCTTGGGATTGAATTAGTGGGGTTCCTTCTTTTCTCTGGATGGACCAACGAACGGACGGACCGACAGTCGACGCGGACGGAGTTACTGCCGGGCAGGTGTGCGCCTCCTGCGTGTTCGTGTGCGCGCTGGTGTTCCCGTCGCAGCACAGGCACAGGGCCCAGGGGACGAACTAAGGCTTCACGAGTAACCCGAGTGCAAACGGGACCAAACAAACCGAACTGTCGATTGCTCCCACAGAGTACAACTATCAAATCGAAAGGGCCTACAAGCCAAGAAAGAGCTTGTTGCAAACGAGTATTAGTCCGTGAGTCGACTATGTACCTAATGCCTAGCCTGGCCTGGGGAAAACAGAAATCGATGGCCTGGCGTCCTGTGACTCTCGTTGGGGGGCTGATCGATTCAGACAAAGGCTCAGACCTCTTCAAGGTGCGTGAATCGCGGGTGAATTAATAGCTGTTCTGGAGTAAGTCTGGTCGGAGCGGTCAGAGTCCGGCCGCCGGGTCCGGGGCGAATTTCGATTTTCCCAAACCCCATCTGCAGGCTGCAGTAGCGCGTCTTTACGCGAGTCGATATTTTTCTTTCCATCGAGGCTTTTTACCAGGCTCCAGGGGGGTCTTTAGGGAGCGATTCGGGAGAAGCGTGCGCTTCACGTTGAAATATTCCTATTCGCTCTCATCAATTCTCTTTCGGTTCGACTGGCGCTCGCGATAAGTTTCAATTTTCTTTCTCATTTCTCCCTTGCGTGTAGAAGGAGATGCTGGAGCAAAGGGCTGGTCCGTTTTTCCCCTCGTTGCCTGCAAGCCGAATCGAACGCTGTAATGGCTCCTGAGGGTGTTTTACTTTTTGCGTATCTTCCAGCCTCGCCGAGATTTAGGGATCTCCGTCATAGCTCCATCTCATCGAATGCTCAGAGTGTTTATGTAAAGCATCATTGGAAGATTCTCGGAAAAGAAGATTTGGAGATTAAAATCTAAGAGTGAAACAATCCTAAGAAGCGTTCCTCTTCGGCTTCGAGTATCGTCTCCGAAAATTTCAGTACTCAGACTAAAATTTCGGCAGTTTCTGAGGATGTTCAGGAGTCTCGGCTCCGATCACACTGTTGCTATCGCAGCAGACTTCTTCCCCTGTTAGACCTCATAAGTGGGGCTTTTTCGGGCGTCGAGGAGTTCAAATGAGAGCTTGCCAGTGTTTCTTCCCTGACGCGGTTTCCTTTCCTTCCTTAGCCTTTTTCTGCGAAAAGCTGCTTTAAAAACCCTTCCATGAGAGCATCAGCGGGCGACCACTCCGTACGACGGACAGGCGGGCGGGCTGGCCGCCCAGAGGGCGGCGGGTCTTCGCAGACTGAGACACAGCCACATGATTTATGACGACGACTGAAACTCTGTTGCAGGGGACAGAATTCGAGTGGGAAGAATATTTGACGGATGCCTCGCTGTTCCGAGTTGTTGCTGCCGCCGCAGCGGGTCTTAGTTCCCGAGTTACTTTACGACACCATTGTACTATTGCGTCACGAAAGCACACGGCGAGAGTCGCGCTATCCTTGCTGACTTTATGACGTTTTCCTAAAGAACGTATTTTCTTTTCCAGGGAACTCGAAGGAAACAATATAGAAGTCATCAACCGGGAAGATTTGAGAGATCTCAGAAAGCTGCGAATACTGTAAGTTTCCCGTGCCCCTCGGAAAAAAAATCTTTTAGTCCCGGGGTCTCGTTTCGTTCCAAACCACACAAAGACGGAAAATACTGAAGTTATCAAGATAAGTTCAGAGACTCATCTAGACGATCGGGAATCCGTTGCATTTTCCCTACTCCAGGGTGACCCGCAGGAATTATCCTCGATATCGAGCGGTGCAATCAAACCATGATTTATATAGCGCGCATGGCGTTCCCATACGATTTTTTTTCTCACGGCACCGATCTGACTTTATCAAGTTGAAGGAGCAAGAAATTCCCCCGCGAAATGGCTGTCCACAACCCTGGAGTGAACAATACACCTGGGAAACCTGTTGTGTCGCTGTTGAGTCCAGAGTTCGAGTCATCCGGGCTTGTATTACTCAGCGAACTCCTTTATGTGTTCGACACTGAGCTCCAGGATCCATCTCGCCCACCTAGGCTAGTCCAGCCCGCTAGGCTAAGGTGGCTTCGGCATCACTTGGTTGGCTGGGCTAGGCTATCAGCCCCTCGCCCCTTGCTGCACGGTGCTTAACAGAGTTTCGTGCTCGGGGAGACACGTGGGGCGACTGCGGTGCGAGCCGAGAACCCCAAGCCCCTCTCGCCGAGTCGACCTCGCCATCCTCATATACACATCCCCCTCCGCTGCTATAGCTTTGGCACGCAGCGAGTAAAAGGCAATCAAACTTGTTGCTTCGCCTTGAAGATGGGCGTATTGCTGGCCTTGCCTAGAGGTGGTACGCTCTCCACTCACTTGCTGGCTGGCTCGCTCAGCGCCTAAGTCGATTCGAGCAAGCTCGACTAGGCTAGCCCGCTCCAGTCTGCGCGGGGCTGATTGTGCTTGGAGCCAGGGGCAGGGGTCATCGGAGGGAGGTGCAAGGCGCTCCCTTCGACGGCTCAGGTGACTCAGAATCGAACGTAGGAGATGACTAAGAGGCAAGAAATTGCAAAAGCCGAGGGAGCGAAACGAACTCACCTGTAGCTGACAACACTCTGTCCTGGAGAAGCTACTCGTCTGCGATTTCCTATTTCCCGCAAGATTTCGCATCCTGGTCCCGAAGTATCGACGGGAAACGGCATCGTTGTCGGTACACGGTCTCGACGCGAATAGCACCGTTGGAGTGTCGAATCCGTTTGTGATCGAGACGGATCCATCATCGGAGATTCCCGCCGTTTCGATGTTCGGGAGTAGATCGATCCGGAACAGATTGCGATCTGGCGATCAAACTCTATCGGAGGTCGTCTAATTTGGTGCGAAATTCACATGCCGAAGTTCTGTCGTCGGCCACCCGAGCCTTTCGGGATAGAAGAGGGGCTTTCGGAGAGAAATTGATGAATTCTGTCATTTCATTTCTCGTGAGGTTTACTCAGAGTTCCCCGTTCCCCATCACCTGAGCTGCATGGGGTGCATTTTCAACTGGTGAGACAGACTTATACTGCCCCATTTCGGAGGGGTCCTTTCATAATCTCACCGACGTTGTGCTTCGGGTTTACACCTGGGACAGGCCATTTATCCCGAGCATAACTGGCATGCACGCTTGCTTGCTCACTCGTTCGCTCGCTCGCTCGGAGGCTCATTTTTCGTGTCTAGGAATACGCTGGTACGGTCCGCGGTGGCAGAAATGATCGTGAACGGCGTCTGATTACCTACACCAGTATAACATAAGTCTCGCGAATAGATTTGAGAGACCCATTTGTTCACATAGCGCCAGCTAAATAAGAGTCCGCGACGAAGTCAGATGTCGAATCGAGAGAGCTTATCACTCCTAAAAATTTGCGTCATGGTTCGCAAGGTCCGCAGAGACCTTTCGACACGCGCGGCGCAGCGCTTCTGTGCCGCTGATCGTTTCTCTGTTCTTGTTCAGAAACAAAATTAACGGGATTACTTGATTCCGTTCTTAATTTGATGGATCAGTGCCTTGATGAGCCTTCTCTGAAAGAGCTAATTCGCTACGAAACGAGAGAGAATACACTCAAGCAGTGCTACGTTGCCAGAGCCGGAGCGAGTCGATATCCAACCCGATCCAACGTTCCTCAGAGGGGGCGGGGGCGATGAGGAGATAATGCGCGGGGAGGGCAGTGAAAGGCAGTCGACGTGGCTGCGACGGGGCATTGAATCTGAACCATTTTCGCCCCGTTCAGCAAACATGGAGGGTGGCGATGATTTGCATTTTGACAATGGTATGTGAGGGGTAGCATCTTTCTCGAACACGCTCCACCGACTTCTCAGTGAATTCTGTGCACTCTCTATCTGTTTTTGGCGGTGACGGCAGCAGCGGTCCTCAGACAACCCCCTGAGTTCCTCGTTTTGTTCGGCCTTGTCGTTCCGAAGACCCTGGCCGGCTCCTGCGGCCCGTCTTCCCTCCCTGCGGACCGTGTAGGATTGCGACGTCGCGTCGTCGACCGCCATGTTCGACAGCATCATAATCTGCTGCTGAGCGAACGCGATATTCACGCAAGACTGATAAAGCAGTTTACGAAAACCCGCTCATTCATCCATTCATTCACTCTCCCCAATTCATCACGGCTGAACATCGACAGAAAGCCGTGCCGCGAACAGACCCCAGAGAGAACGAGGCCGTACGAGAAACCATTTTTCCTCCAAATCCTCACTTCATCCTCCTAAACAAAGACTCTGACGAGCTGAGTGGGGCTTCTCATGCAAGCTGCTGAAAAGTCGTCCCGTTGAAAACCCCCAATTCGAACGACTAGTACACGATTGCCGAACAGGAAAGGGAACCGGAGAGCTTTCACCTTCGAACAGTAGACAAACAACGAAAGAAAAAATTGGGAACCCGCAAACGACCAATTTGGTATGGCTGTGAAGTTTCCCCGCGCGGATTCCCCAGGGAAATGATTTCCAAGCCGCAACAGCTGTTCCCCCGGAGCGCGGCGTTCGATTTCAAACAGCTACCCACCTCTCTTCCCGAGCCGCAGCGGATCGAGAAACGGATCGATCCGACGGCGGGCACTTGAGAGATGACCCTGCTACCGGCCTCGCAATGATCCGGTGCTTATTCTCATTAGTACAAGAGATCGTTAGAATCTTGGTCGCTCGATTGTTCTCCCCGAGGAAATTACCCACTCGTTCCATTCGAGAGAAATCATGTTGCAAAACCAAAGAGCGAGGAAGCCAGGATTCACTTCCCTGAGCTACACTTGCTTCTGAAATGACAGACATGCGTGAGAGGGCAGCATCAAACGCTTATGATTCATTGTCGATTGCCCCGTTCGACCCTTCGCCATCAGAAGCGAAGCTCCGAGCTACTTCAAAGACTTCCCATCGCCCCACTCACCCTCTCAGCGCCCCCTGCACCGTGAAGCTCTGCTTACCCTCCGGGTGCCCCACTCTTCTCCGTACTGCCCCGCGCCTCCACCCTCGAGCAGCCCTCCCCTTTGAAAATCTAGTTGTCCTGGAGGAGCAGGACGACTACAGCGACGGAGAAGGAGACCATGATGATGTTTGCTCGAGTGTGACTAACGCAGAGATGCCTTTTGAGGAGGATAAGTGATGCGCTCGCTCGTTCGCCCGATTGCTTACTTACTCAGTCCGCTTGTTTGTTTGACCGGCCAGCTGTCTAGAACTGTCAGTGGTGCAGTGTTCCGATAGTCACTTCGTCTCGTCTATTCGAGCGACACCACCACGAAGACGTTATTCGAGCCGCGTACGCTCGGTCAGGCATTTTGATTAAGGCGATGACGCGTGCGTCATTCGAATTAAGCCGCTCAGCTCATTTTATTCTATAACTAGCGCTCCCGGTCGCCGCTTCGCGGCGACTCGGTATCGCTAGACTCACTACACATGCGCTAGCTCCGAGTGCGCTGGCTCCGGGTGCGCTTGCTTTGGTCGCGCGTGCTCTGGGTGCGCGTCCCGTTTCCGCTTTCCGGTTCCCTGCTTTCCCGTTCCCCTGCTTTCCCGTTCCCCTGCTCTCCCGTTCTCCGCTTTCCTGGTTCCCCGCTATCCCAGTTCCCCACTTTCCCGTTTCCCCGCCTCCCCGTGCCCCCGCTTTTATTAGATATGTATGTCCTCCGGAAAATCGATACCCGTCACGGCTACAGCGATTTTCAGCGAGATTCATTGGTAAAAAGACAGAGGCCAATGGTGACGGCAATCCTTGATAGCCTTCTTAGGAGCTCCCAAGAATCCGCCCCCTCATGGTGGTCCAGCCGATAAGAAATCCTGCGAATTCCCGTCTTTCCCTTGATGAAATCTTTGATTCTCGGTGAGAGGACCACTCAAATAATTTTTTTATGGTGGGAGGACCCATCACATACGGGAACCCGAACTTGAATTTTCACGGCGATCGGTTCAGGCGTTTGTGAAATTAGCGAATTTCGGATTTTTCAATTTTTTCCGAGTTTTCGAATTTTCGTGGGTGGAGCACTCAAATAATTTTTTCAAGGTAGAAGGACTCATCGCATCGGAGAACCGACCCCCCTATAACCACCGCTGGATCCCCCAGAACACGCTCCTAAATTTTCACGACGATCGGTTCAGCCGTTTTCGAGTCTATAGGGTACCCCGGACATACAGACAAACAGACAAACAGACAAACAGACAAACAGACAAACAGACAGACAGACAGACATACGTTTTTATATATATAGATAGCTTTCGAAGCCAGACTTAGCGTTGCAATAATTTGTAGTCACGTCTGTCGACGGCTCGGAGAACTCGAATCAACAAAGCGATTCCCGACCACGCGTTCATTTGGCAAATGCTGGGAGGCAGCTGGGACGCTGCGCCCACCCAGCCGGCAGTAGGTCCGTCATCAAGCTTCAACTTATTTATAATAATCAAATAAGTGCCGAAGCTGAGGAAACTCTCCCATTAGGATGCCGCATCAGCTTTCTGACGTGCAAACGTTCCTCGTTCTGGTCGTTTCTAATCTCGGTCTGCGCTGTCTCGACAGAAACCACCGTCAGAGGGAAAATTCATTTGCCCTCACTGGATGGGGAACTCGCGACTTCGACCATTCCCAGTCAGGTCGGAAACAGATTTCTCCGACTCTGAGCTCTAATAGGGATCGATTTACTGAGATTCGGGGTCATTTCATTGAATGATTCGGAGTTGATGTCGAATCCGGCTCCTGATCAGCTCGAAACCCGACCGTTCGCAACAGCTGGAAGCTGCGCCATGCTGACGGCTAGCTATTCCGGCAGACATCGATTGCTACTTTCGGTAGTTCGTTGAAAGCAGGTCCTCGTCGGTGAATCGCCGCCCCAACTATCGAAGCAGTAATTTAAGACACTCTCCGGATAGGGCACACTCCAAATCTGTGAGAAGCCTTCGGACCCTGCTCGCTTAGCCTCCTTGAGTCTCGTAGCTACTCCTGATCTGGATGGTTTCCTGACTTCGTGCTATCCTTTTGTCATTAGCATTAACAATCCATCCACGGCAAGTAGACATTATAAGCTGTAGTTAGACCGAGGGAAGGGTCCCGAGCAGAAAGCTCTAACGACCCGGAGCCGTAGCAACGGAGCCAGGCTGTAGGAGAGCACGGATCACCTATCTTGCCCGAACGTACTCCGAGAGTTGGACGAGTCGATGAGCGAGCATCGCGACCTTCGGTAGAAGCTCGGGGCGTGTTCGCCCGCCTGGCGCATGATCACAAGGAGCGTTCGAGGCAATGATAAATTCAAGACTCGTGTTCTATGTATTGAATCGTGTTCGCTGAAAGTAATCAGGATTTGCATGATAGTGCTCATCGGGTGTCCCAATTTATGGACTGTTTGGACAACTCGCTGGACGAGCAGGCTCTGCATACATATGTTTGTAAGGAGGCTTTCTCGGCTTGAAAGCGAGGGAGGAATTCTATTGAAGAAAAATAAAGAAACGGGGTCGAGAAATCAGTGCTAGTTCTGATTTTAGATACCCCGGACACAAGTGGGGGTGATACCTGAGCATTCGTGCGTGCGTGAAAGTATGTACCGAGTCGTCGTGACCTTTACGAGGATCTCTTCAATTGAACAAATTTATGATTATGGCTTTTTCGTTTGACAGCGCGGGTATAAGGAAGCTCGATGAGCGAGGCGGCTGAATGGTCGTTTGCCTCTCGTGCGTCGCTTCGTTCGACCGCCTGAAGAATGAAACGCGCGAGAGGGAGCTAGGAAATGGGAAATTTTTCAGCGCTCAGAAGTACACATAAGATGTCCAGCTGAGAACAGATCCGAAGAACGAATGTTTCTCACGGAATTTCACGCGAGCTGCGCAACTCACGTGCCGACGCGACGTCAGCACAGGTACAGATTGAAAAAGTCTGCGCCCGCTCCTTCACAAACGATTGCCTTCCCAATTCATGATTGACTTCCGTAGAGGGAAGGAAGTTCGCGACGAGGAGACGAAGCTCCGACTCTAAGGAGTGGATTCAGGTCTCAGGGCATTACTTTCATCGGTTACGATTCATTTTCGCTACTGACGGTGCTCGAGAGTGAAATGATCGCCGACAACGCTGGTGCTGTGGTCGTCTCGGAAACAAGAGCGGCTTAGTGAGACGGAGAGGTATGCACGCCGACTGATATTGAGGCGTCTTCTCCGGCACGGCTGCGAACGTGCCAAGGGAGGCGGAAAGCGAACAAGTCGCAGAAGGGCGGCGAGACGACGCCGACGGGGCTTACCGGCTTCGATTCCGCCCGGATGCCACTACCAATTGGCTCGACAGTTTTTCTCTCGCGGGTTGCAGTGCTGCTTTCCGGTCGACTCGGACAGAGTAGCGAACACGCTCTAGATCTCGTGCCGTGGGTTTTTTTTTGGTCAAAGGGAACGTCTGCCTTGCCTGCGCCGACTTCCGCGGTCGGCTGCTCGAATTCGAAAATTTGCAACACTGCGAGATCGCGAATTCAGAACAAGGCAGAAGATTCGTGGAAAAAAAAAGCGCTCAAAACTTCTCCATGATGAAGTACGAAGTCTCGAAGTCTTGCTTAAATTGGGTGTGGCCACGAGGGAAACTTTCGCGGAAGAGATGTTCGGCTAGTAATTCAGCTTAGATGCAAACGAAGACGATAAAGTTGAGAGCAGAGGAAGAGTTGCAGGCCGCAGCTACTTTCCCTCATTTGCAGCTCGCGAACGAAAGAGTTAAGAGCCGATCTCGCTCGGAAGAACATCCGGAAAGCCTCTGCGGTTTCTAGGCGATGTCCCAGATCGACCGAGCTCCCGCCCTAAATCGCGTCTGGCGTCACAGATTCATAATGAGCGCGAAAGAGACGATCAGAGAACAGGGAGGAGTATTTCAGAAATTATCTCCTCGACGGGAATCTGGGACTATGACGATTCTGATTTTGTTTTAATGAATGATGATCAATGAGATCCGAGACATGTAGAGCTATTCAGAAAGAATAGAATCGATGTCTCACCTTATGCTTGAGCTTCAAAAACATACTTCAGCAGCAATCCTTCTGACTCTTCTCTTTCTCTTACAGGCAATTGCAAGATAACGGCTTGCATTCGGTAGACAAGAATGCTTTCGCAGACCTCGTCTCTCTCGAAAGATTGTGAGTAATAGACACGTTCGATAGGGATTCCGGGTGTATCCAAAGCTGCTGCTGTCGCCGTGGCCGCTGCCTCTGCTGTCGCCGTGGCCGCTGCCTCTGCTGTCGCCGTGGCCGCTGCCTCTGCTGTTGCTTGACATCGACTTGCCATCGTTTCGCTACCGACTTGGCAGTTAGTCAGCCGAGGGACGGTCGAGAGCTGCAGTGCAGTCAGCCTTTCCCCCTCTAGGCATCACACACCATTTGAGTTAATAGCATTATTAAGGCTGAGTGATTTCTCGGCAGCAGTTTAGACAGCTCCTCTTTCTGCGGTGCTTCTTCGTCCGTCTCATATATCAATTTCTTATTAGCACTGTATATACCCTTGTTCGTATCGCATAACACGATGAGCAAACAATGATGATTCAACAGCCAACCCGCGACATCCTGCAGATGGGTCGCTCGCTTGTCCGGAAAACTCGGCATCGTGTGTACCTAAGAATTTCTGCTTGCCAAGTTGCGTCATTCTCTACCCAAGTGCAGTCCGGTGCTCCCCGCATACGGAACGAGTACACAGAAGAGAAAAACTTCACGTGCTAGTGATATGTGTTTTGCGCAATCTGCAGCGTTTCCCAGTTGCGATGTATGTATTCAAATCACTTCGAGCTCGAGGCAGAATATCAAGAACATCGGCAGACTCTTGAAGTTTTGACGACTCATTGAGGATTGCGAGCATCTTCTCACGGAGGTCGGAGGGGAAGTTGGAAACGAATCGCGATTTTTCCGCAACTCCTGGACAGGTCTGAAAATCCACGATGCTCCATAAATTATTCGGGCGCGAGCGCCGCTCTATCTGAATCGTCGCCGTTCCCGGCGGCGTCATCCCATTAGTCGCTTCTTGTTTCTCACATATTAATTTGTGCCAAGCGCGTCCGACGGCTCTATCCGATCCCGTTTCGATTCGTTCGCAGCGAGCGGCCAGACAGCATCCACCGATCTCCGTGTTGATATAATAATTATTATTGCTGCTCAACTGTTGCTGACGATGATTTATTATTGGTTTGATGAGTTCATTCGGGGTTCTTATTAGCCGTACGTTAGCATACTGACAACAATTGGAAGCGATCAATTATGGTTCCTCGGCGGCTCTGGCTACACATGCTACTCGTTCTGTTTTTCCTCTGGTTTCGGTTCGCTTCGTCCCCCGTGCGTCCAGCCAGCCATCCGTCCGTCCGTCTGTCCGTCTGTCTGCTCGTCGGTCGGTTGGTCGTCCGATCGCAGTTTATTTTCCTTCGGCACCGATGTGGAGAGCACTCATTGAAATTAATGGTCGTCGTCGTAGCTGTCTTTTTGCGTATCGCTTCCTCCTCGATCTTGCTCTATCCCGCCATGCATCTCGTTCCCACTCGATGGAGCATGGTGTTCGTGGCTGTGTTCTTTGTCTCGTGGATGGTCGCGTTGCCTAGTCGAATTCGCGCCAGTGTAACGGAGTTTCGATAGGCCTGATGATACCGCATGCTGGGTTGAGAATTGCTTCTCAAAGACTGTGGCCCCTAACGCCCGCCAAGCGGAGAACCTGCTGCGCGTCAGATTCACTTTGAGCAGAGTTTTATATTCTTTACACGTCTTTCAGTTGCATAAGCGTGCGAGCCGGCGTTTGTCCGTCTGACCGACCGACCGCTCTCTCGTCAGAAATCGCTACGCTCCGTCGATGCGAACGAGAACGTATTACGTATTGCAGTGCTGATGTATCGAGTTCGTTAGCCGTTGTTTCTCAGGCGCTACGGCTACGGGCCTAGGTATCGCCGAATCGACCGCGCGGTCCTCCCGATGACACAGACCTCCGTACCTGCCACTTCCTTCTTCCACTTCCTCTGTGAAAAGCGGAGGAGTGGGTTTCGAGCAGGGACCGAAAAAGGAATCTGTTGGAGGCTCCGTTACTGTTGACGATTTACTTGTCCTACTCGGATAGGGTCTCAATGACGCTTCAATGGGGATTTTTGATTGATATCCTCGCCTGTAATCGTGCTCCTCTCGCTAACGTTGAGAAGAGAACATGCGTGCTCGCTCGTTCCCCGTCGCACAGGCGAACGAACGTTTCGATGAGCGAGTGCAAAACCGTTGAACGTCATTAACGGCGCTTCATAAAGACCATTTGCTCGTCTGTTCGATCCTGCCTGAACATCTTCAACAGGCGCTTGTTGTCAGTCACTGGTTAACGGACCACCATGAATCATGTGTATGTACAGGAGAATTTGTAGAATGAAAAATGCACGTCAGCGCTCGCGTGGCGTCCTTGAGACTTCTTCATGGAGTTTCACATCGCGGAGGCATCAAGATAAATTTGATACTCGATGCGTCGGAAACAAACATTTTAGCCCATCAGGACGGCGGAAGCCTCCAGGGAGTGTTCTAGGGCGGTCAATGGTGTTGACTGAAACTCGGAAGAGACCCTCGATTCTTTCTCAGCTTGGCAATAGAGCAGGTTGATTCTACTCTCTCCCGAAGTTTGAGAAATTAGAAGATTCCCTAGAATTGATTGGCGGGCTTCTCAACTATGAGAATCATGCCCGAAATGGATGCTCTGATCGAATGACATCTTGCCGGACTCCCGATTTCCGCGATACTGGACCGGATCCGGGCCTCTAGAGAGCCGAGAGTCTCCGGTAGGCAGCGGTCGAGAGGATCAACAAGGGGAGGATTCTGCTCATTTGAGTGATTTTCAGTCCATCACTTTATTTTGTTCTCCTCAACTGCTGGCTCGGCAACTTTTTAATAAGGTTGTTCCAACAAAATGTCTCCTCGTATCTTGTTAGGCAGTGGGCGCGTTGCTCGATGGTTCGCTCGTCGACTTGATTAGTTGAAGCAAAAGGGATTGCGATAGCGTCGAGTCCCGGATGAAGGACAAGCGAGGATAATAGCAGCAGCAGTTTTCCTCGCTCAAGCAAACATTCTCCTCATCTTCGAGCTTGATGACAACAGAGCGGTGGGGAGAGATCGCAGAGGGAACCTTTCAGTTCTCACCTTTCGGAGGCACCTGTCGCCACCTTCTCGCGCCGTTCAACTTCGCGGGGCTCACTTTGCGAAACAACGATCTCATCGCCTGAGAGCAAACGAGAAACAATCGAAAGGTCTGCGGTCCTCTGACTTGAAACCCTTCGACGAACCGAACTTGAGTCTCGAATAACACGACGAAGTCTCTCACTACGGTTCAATCTTGTTTCAACGTCTTGGTTCAATCCGGACAGATCCTCTTCTGCTCGAGAAACATCTGTTCGACTCCAGCGTTTTCGTCTTCGAATGTTGCTGCACTATGATTTGCGTCAAGTCAGGAATCGAACGGCTGAGCGGGGCCCTGCCAGACACGGGGTTCGTCATTGGGCGCTCGATATTTCTGCTGAATTAATTTTTCCTCGATCTCATTCTCGGGGACGCTAATCGGGATCTTTGGTGTCGGTCAAACCGAGTCGACAGTCCTTATCACAGCTCGACAGGCGCACCGTAACCGCTGCCGATCAGTCATTCTGATTTCGAATTTCATTCAAGACTTTGTATCCGTGCAAGAACCGATCGTCTAAACGATCTCATACATAGTCGCGGCATCGATACGTTTTCGATGGCGACACTGCAAATGCGACGTGTTTGCATAGTCGGAGCGCCAACCGTATCCGAAGGGCTCCACATGATCTGAAAAATGAAATGAATGGCCGGACGTCGAGAGAATATCTCGAAGATACCTACAATGGAGTTTCAACTCGCACTGCCTTGACTCAGGAGAAGCGATATACCCCTCGGGCTTCGCTGTGTGTTGTATACAGCTCACGAAACCCCGCCCAACTGCGTATTCTGAATTTTCTCGGCGCCGCGCCTTTGCTCCGACACGACGCATCGATGATGATTAATGACGTTACTTATCTAACGGATCACTCGTTTCCAGGCGCATCAACAACAACAAGCTCAAAATGGTATCAGACGAGCTTTTCGCTCCGCTCTCGCATCTCCATCGACTGTGAGTACCGAAATATTTCCTTCTCTCGCATGTATTCGAACAACTCCAAGGACATTAGGCATGCGAGTGAAGAAATCGACGGAGTCAGGAACGACTCTCCAGCCAGTGAGACTCTTCTTGCCATGACGTTCCATTCGCCGAGTTCCGAGATGAGCGCAGGGATTCTCGATGCAGAGAGTTTTACGAAACAAGGCGACTCTCCAAGTCTGTCTCCGTTGGCTCTGGGGTAACCGATATGACTGCGACTTCCTGAGTTTCTTCCGAAAATAGGAAACAATCCGATAAATTCTAGAGAGTTCGGAAGGAGCGCAAGATCTCGACCCAGGCTCCGGATTCGAGATTTCCGAACGGAGCTCCTCTTGTAAGTCGTGTTCCGGGCGATGCTCCGTAACTCACTCAAGTGAACGAGTCCTTTTTCCCGAGTGAGACCGCGTCTTTTCAGTCGAGTGTTTTTTCCCTTGGATCGCACAAATTAATCAGTCAGCAGCGGACGGGAGCTGGCCTCACCGATCGCTGCCGAGCGCGTCTGGAATCGTGTCGGACGACTCTCTGATTACAACTTACGCAGTCACTACAGCGCGTACAGGCTCGCGAGGTCGCAAAACAAGCTATCAACCTGACCTCTGACAGATAAGGCTCGTGTCAGTGAAGGATTGCTGGCATAAGTTGTCTGTACGGCGTCGTAATGAATTGGGAGCTTGTCATACCGAAACATTGTGGTGATACGTGAGCGAGTCAGCCATGTATGCGGCCGGGCTTTCTAGCAGACTAGCTGACAGCTACTTTGCGGATAAAGCCCATAGATAATACGATCGTGTAACTTGATAAGTAGAGCATGATTTCCCCAGAACGATTATAATGCTTTTTGGCTCGGCGGTCAGCTCTTGGAAGAGTTCGGCGCCGACGTTGACGTGGGCGTCCGGTCGGGTCTCCGATGGAGGGATGTTACCCGCGGCTTAGAACGGAGAATGAGTCCGCCTGTTCGGAGAGAGGAACGCGCAATCGCTCGAAGTTTCGATTTCTTATTCGTCGAATTCAGTTGAGACTATTGTTTTCCAGTGACCTGTCGTCGAATCAGTTGTCGCTGATCTCGCGCAAAACATTCTCAGGATGTCCGTCCCTGCGCAATTTGCAGTTGGAGTCGAATCACATCGCGTGTGTCGACGAGGCTGCTCTGCGCCAGCTCAAGAATCTCGAAGTCATCACATTGAGTAGGAACAACCTCACCAGGATTTCGAGGTACGTAACCGAAGCCGCTTCCGATTCTCACAACATGCGAAACTTCCGTCTTTGCGATCGAGGAGCGAGCGGGTTCGGCAGAGGATTCGTCGACGTGCACTGCGCGACGGCGTTTTCCCTCTACGTCAACTTTCATCTTTCTTTCTTGCACTCCCGCCCGCATTGCGTCCCGCCATTGACTCGTGGAGAAATAACTTCAAAGCAGGGTTTCATCAGCACGGGTGGTATTAACCGGGGCAGGCTGATATGCATACCGTGCCTGGATGACTTGCTGTATGAGGAGGAGGAGAAGAAGAAGCCTGTGAGGAATATCCGGGTGGTGGTTGTGGTCGGATGGCGGTGGGTCGGTCGCTTGCTTGCGGGCAGGCGGGCGATGGTGGTGGTGGTAGTGACTCTATGTGGTCGACCGGGTGGTCGAGCAACGAGGGTTCATGAGTTTCAGAAGCATCATGGTTCACTTATGCAGATGCGTGACAAATTAGCCCCTTTGCTTTGGTGGGCCAGCTCCTTCGTAGGCACGAAGCTTCCGCCGCCACCGTCATCATAACCCACGGCGCGGCGGTCGATCCAGAGCTTTGCAGGTACCGACCTATCGGCTCCGGTTTTTGCTCGCTCTCTCCCTTTTCATGACTGAGCATCGAACCCTTGACATAATCTGTCTATCATTGGATGCCATCGCGAGGGGCGTAAAACAGCTTCCAGGACCCAATCCGGCCCCGTTTAGGCCGCTGGTCGGGTGGGGTGTACGACCTCTGACGATTGAACGGATCTCCTGGGGCCTGAGACCGGCTCCGTTTTCATTGGCTTCGAAATTTACAGATATCTCTTCGATGGACTCAAGAAGCTCCGCGTGCTGCGACTCTCTGAGAATCCTCTGTCTTGTGATTGCCACCTGTCTTGGCTGTCCGGATGGCTTCGATCGAATCCGAGACTCGGTCTCTACACGACCTGTCACTCGCCGTTCTATTTGAAGGGCAAACCAGTGGCCGAACTGCGCGAGGACGACTTCAAATGCAATGGTGAGTACGAGCCCAGCAGCGCTTGGCATCGCGGAAGAATTCCGCCCGTTCGGTAGACGCGGAAGGCAATGGGTAGGTGCTTCGCTCTGATTCCCCGGAGAGACCGAATGTTGTTTCCATGCATTGCGTGGTTTCCCCCACGCGTCTATATATAAAGTTTGTCAGTGAGTGAGCGGGTGTCAACTCGCGGTAGAAACCGAAAACATTCTCATCAAACAAGCCAGAGGCCCCCGTTCCGCATATTTCACAAAGTGTAACATGTAGTTGACATGAACCAAAGTGACAACGCCGTTGTCGTCGTCGTCGTCGTCGTCTTCGTTAAACAGCCTACTCACGTGAAGATGATCTTTTTCGAAAGCGCGGCTGATTCTCCTTTCCGATCGATTGTGGGAAAAAGGAGCGAAAAATATCTCACCACAATCCCAACTGCCAGGTCTCGATTTGATGTTGGCGGACGAGGCTCCTGTCTGCAATCCAGAAGCAACATGTCCCACGCCATGCACATGTAAGGGGAATGTCGTTGACTGCCGGGACAAAGGACTCACCGAACTTCCACACTTCTTCCCGGATGACACCACTGAGATGTGAGCACGGATGCGACTCCAATTATCTTCGGACAGGAATTCAGTTTCCTCGTAGCCACCCGGGTATTCCACAAGAGCTCAATCAATCAAACGATCGCTCATCGTTCGTATTCTCAATGTTACAGAAATCTACAGAACAACAGGATAACGGAGCTGCCTGCTCGACGCTTCTCGGGGTTGCGCGTATTGCGCAAAATGTAAGTTCAAACTCACGAGAAGAGCATCCGAGAGATCGTCCGCCGAATTCTCTGAAGCTCAAGCACTGATGACTCATTTTCTCCTCCAGTGATCTGACGGGAAACCAAATAAGTAAGATCGACCCGGACGCGTTTGAGGGACTCAGGACGCTCACGATTCTGTAAGTGAACATCATTCGAATTTGAACCGATGAAAGATATTTTTGGAAATATTCTTATCAGAGCAGAAACAGGATACAGAGGGCGGAAAATATTTTCAATTTCCAGTGCTCTCTACCGCAACAATCTGACCGATTTGCCTTCCGGAGTTTTCGAGGGCTTAACATCTCTCCAAATGCTGTGAGTATTTGATTTTGTCTGTCAAGTGCATTGCCCCAGATGCTCGAACTCGTGGCTAAACGAATTCCCTTCCATTCATATTCGCAGGCTTCTGAATCGGAATCAACTCGAGTGTATTCGCAAGGACGCATTCCGGGATCTTCAAAACCTCAACGTGCTGTGAGTGCAGTTTTTCGTTTTTCTTCTGCAATTTCCCCAGGCATCTCAAGCTGCCTCCCACGAACTCATCGAGCGGCCCTCTTTTCTCCGTTACAGCTCTTTGTACGATAACCAAATCCAGTCGTTAGCGGATTCCACATTCGCGCCTTTGACCAACATACAGACGGTGCATTTGGGGAAGAACCCTCTCATCTGCGACTGCAATCTGCGCTGGATGGCCCGCTGGATCGCGTCTTTCCAAGCCGACGAAGGTGACCAGAGCGGGGTGGAACGCAGCGACGCTCGTTGCGATTCTCCAAAACGGGTCGCCGGCAAGAGATTGACTCAACTCACCGAGAGCAAATTCAAATGTAGAGGAGCTGAGGAATACCGGACCAAGTAAGTTGATCCGGAAGAAATCCGGAGAACGCGGAATTTTCCAGAATCCGTGGACTGTCTCAGTTTTCCGGGAGTCGATTCCGGGGGCATTCGCCTCGAGGATCCGAGTCAGTCTCCGTCGTCATTCAGAAAATACACCACAATAAACTTGGTTGAGAGTCGCACTCCATTTGAAGTGTTGTAAACGTCGGCTGAGCACTCTCAGCCCGCTCGAGAGGGTTAACACGTCTCTAACTGAAGTGGCATCTGAAATAGTTCCGAGTTCAAAGCGTTGTTTAGAGCTCGCTCGTTTCCGAACAAATTACTTTTTTTTCGAAATCGATTTCCTCCCACTTCGAAGACGGTCCCACTCCACCCGAAGGCTCGCGCCCCCGTCGGGATTCTGCTTCAAGACGAGACTTCTGACGAGATTTACTTCCTTCCTTCCTCAAGGTACGCAGGTGAATGCCGAGTCGACAGCGGATGCCCATCGGGATGTGTTTGCGAAGGCACCATCGTGGATTGCTCCAGGAAGGGACTTCGAACGATTCCCGGTGATCTTCCCATGTACACCTCCGAGTTGAGACTGACCGCCAACGCGATCGAGAACGTCCATACCGAAGCATTCAAAAATCTACCGAATCTCTTGAAGATTGATCTCCGTGACAATCAGATCAAAAACATCGAAGACAATGCTTTCTACGGCGCCGTGCACGTTACGGACCTGTGAGTTTTGTGGACTGTTCAGTTTTCGAAGAATTCCTAATCGACATCATTGGCTGTCGGCTTGCTCCACGCGCTGGCGTTGGAGGATATACCCTCCCTCGTAATGATCCCTCCGTTCCGTCCCCAGACTTCTCTCAGATAATGAGCTGAAGCACATCCGGCCGAAGATGCTCGCAGGCCTCTCATCGATAAAAAATCTTCTATTGAGCTCCAATCAGCTCAGCTATATAGCGAACGACACGTTCTCCGAGCTTCCGACTCTGACGCTCCTGTGAGTACTCCTTTGGAGGAAACAGTGTCATCGATCCACGGCCACCCCACCTCGCTCGAGATCTAATGATCAAACAACCTTGCAGCTCACTGAACGACAATAAAATACGTTGCATCGCGCCTGGGAGCTTTCTCCGACTTCGGAACCTTCAGACCTTGTGAGTTTCTGATGATTCACTTAGAGAGTTTCCGAGATTCCATCCGAGCCTCCCAGGGATTTTTGCCGGAGGCCACTCTCATGTGCACGGCAAGCCGAGCAGAATCTATCCCGTTGCTTCTTTTCCTCGGGAGGAAAACAAGCAAAAGAGAAAAAAGGCCAGCCCGTTCGCGAGTCAATACCAGCACCGACAGCGAACTTGCCGACACGGATTGAAGCTGGATCAGTTAAATAAGCCTCGGAAGAGCCAAAGAATAATACCATTCGTACTACTTGTTGTGGTTGTGCACCCTGATCCTCCGAGAGCCACAGCTGCTCCTACACGGGGCGGGATTTTTCGACCTCTCTTCCGGCATGTGAGCCTGCGGAGGAATTCGAGGGAGGCAGACGCAATGGTTCTCGGAGAAAAGATGTCAGGGAAGTTCTGCAGAAATAAATTTCCATTCGCGGATCCTCTTGCAGGAACCTCATGGTGAACCCTCTTGTTTGCAACTGCCATCTGCGTTGGCTCGGTCATTGGCTTCGGGATACGGCAGTCACTGTGGATGGCCCGACGTGCGGATGGCCCGACGAATTGAAAGATTCACCTGTGCAGGATGTATTGGCTGGCGATTTTGTCTGTGTTGACGCTGAGGAAGACGAATGTAGCACTGATGGAATGTGTCCTCGAGGCTGCTCGTGCTCGGGAAGCCTAGTGCGCTGCTCTAGGCAAAAGCTGGCCAAAATTCCGCGCAGGGTAGATTCTTCCACAACCGAGCTGTATCTCGATTTCAACAACATCGACACCATCGCTCCGGAACTCAACGATATCCATAGCCTGGTGAAACTGTAAGTATTCTTCAGGCAGCCATCGGCACCAAGGAGAGCAGCCGGTCCAGCCTTATCACGAACGCTAAATGTTTCCTGTTTTTTTTCGTTCAAACAGAGACCTGAGCAACAACAAGATCACGATTATCCCCAACAACGTCTTCTCGAACCTAACGAAACTCAGCGCTCTGTAAGTAGCCGAGAACGACTCGTTCGTTTCTTCTTCTCTACTTACCATTCCCCTGAAGAGAAAGCTCCGTGTCTGTGGCTGGCAGACAGACCGAACCGGCGGGCAGGCAAACTACCGACCCGGCGAGCGATCGTGCAGTCGACCAAAGAGTAGATTTCCGACGACTTTGGAGTAGACTCCAATAAACACCGTCGTTCCCGCCGCCAACGACGACCATTCATTTGTGCTGCTCCTGTCAGCAACACTCAACGAAGCAGCGACCCTGCCGAAGCAAGCGATTGAGAGAGAAGAGGCGAAATAAATAAAGGGAATAAGCCGGGGAACAAATCAGCCCAGCGGCCTTTTGCTCGCCTGCCAGTGGGAGGCGCACGGTTTTCTTCCGACGCGGCCGCTCTCCTCCGGCATCGAAAGCCGGCGGCCGCCCTCGTGACGGGGGTGCTCCGATGAGAGCTTTGCTCCCCTTCGCCAGACATCGGCTCAAGGTCCGATCGGCTGCCTGCGTGCGAGCCGTCGTGATCTCCATGGTGTCCTGTCTGCCCCTTTTTCCGAAGACATACGAACCTGCGCAGACGAATGTACACACACTCGGAGTCAGACTCAGTCCGAGCGATCTAGAATTTCCCTGCTGAAACGTGGGAATGCCCAGCTGTTCAGGTCTGGAAGTTATTGTGCCGTTACCGAGGTCGGCGCAGCTCAAATTGTGAAAGAGAGCCGCATGCGCGTTCTGTGACGTGTAGCTCCAACGTTTCCTGTTCTCCAACGGCTCGAATGGGGAGCTCGGCAGCCGACTCCCGGCCGGACAGTTGGTTGGCTGTCTGTTTTCAATAAAGTGAATTGCCTCACCATTCTCTTTTTTTTCCCGGTGGTTTCCGCTTCCTTCAGGATCCTTACCAACAACCGACTCCAATGCATTCAAGAGGAAAGCTTCAGGGGCTTGAAGAATCTCCGAGTCTTGTGAGTTTCCTGTCCACGGAACGTCTCGCTACTCGCTAACGCATTGTTTCCCCCTTCCAGGAACCATTTTTCATTTCTCGGTTCTGGAAACGCAGGTGTCGTTCGTGGCGGGCAATCAATTCATGTCGCCGTACTGTTTCAGATCTCTCCACGGAAACGAAATATCAATGATGCCGGAGGGCTCATTCAAGGATCTGATAGCGATAACCCATATTGCTCTCGGCAATAACCCGCTGTATTGCGACTGTCAGATGCGATGGGTCTCTGATTGGATTAAGAAAGACTTTATCGAGCCAGGAATCGCTCGGTGCGCCGAGCCGCCTCACATGAAGGACAAATTAGTATTGACCGCACCTTCCAACGCGTTCATGTGCACACGTGAGTGTTTCACTTGGCTGCTCCTCTGACCTGCCCGTTCTCCGCTCTGTGCGGAAAGCGGGAATTCTCCCCCGTGGGAGCGGGGTAGGACGGAATACGAGCGGGGTTCCCGTTATTATTCAGCTGATCGGCAAGCCCGAGCCGGACGGAACCCGAATGCGCGGCATACGGCTTCAAGCAGGCTCCTCGGAGCCTCGAGGGGAGAGGGGCGTTGTGAAACTTCGTAACGAAAGGCGAATTCCGACCCTTTGTCTCTTCTTCTTCCAGAACGAGCTCCTCCTCACGTGCGTGCAAAATGCGATGCGTGCTTCACCTTCCCGTGCGAGAACGGAGCCACCTGTACGTCGTTACCGATGCACGCGTTCAAATGCGCCTGCACACCTGGATTCCACGGCGATCGTTGCCAATATACGATCGACGCTTGTTTCGATAATCCCTGTCTCAACGACGGAGTCTGCAAACCGCAGGAAGGCGGTCGCTTCACTTGCCATTGCCCCGCAGGCTACGAGGGCTCTCGCTGCGAGATCAACGTCGATGACTGCACCGCACACAAATGCGAAAACAACGGAACGTGCGTCGACCGGATCAACGGCTACAGCTGCCTCTGCCCGATGCCGTACACGGGCGAGTTCTGCGAGACGAAAATGAATTTCTGCAGCGAAGAATTCAACCCCTGCGAGAACGGAGCCGAATGCATCAGTCACGGAACGCACTACAACTGCGTGTGCCCCGTCGGCTTCACCGGCAGTAACTGCTCGGGAAACATTGACGACTGTGTTGACAATCTCTGCGCTAACGGAGCGACTTGCGTAGATGGACTAAACAATTACAAATGTTCATGTCCAGACGGCTTTTCAGGAACATTTTGCGAAGTTGGACCGACGATTGCAATAATGTTCCCCCGCACGTCACCTTGCCAGGCGCACGACTGCGTGCATGGGGTCTGTTTCCAACCAGACACCGACAGCTCCGACTACGAGTGCCGCTGCACGCCTGGCTTCACCGGCAAGCGGTGCGACATTCTGTCTAGCGTGAGTTTCCGAGATGAGTCTTTTGTGGAATTGGAGACACTGGCCACGCGACCCAGCGCCAACCTCACGATTCAATTCGCCACGTCACAAAAGTTCGGAATCCTCGCGTACGATGGAAACAGCGAGCAACATTTGGCAATCGAGCTCTTCAAGGGCAGGGTTCGAATCTCGTTCGACGTTGGAAACACCGCGCCGTCGAACGTGTTCAGCTACGAGGAAGTCGCTGACGGAGCCCTGCATACATTAGAGGTCCTCGTCTGGGATAAGAACCTTACCATGAAAATTGACAACGGCACGCCTCGCACAATTGTCAACGATGGCTCGAAGGAATATCTCGAACTGAACGAGCCGTTCTACGTCGGAGGTCTGCCTGGCTCCAAGGCCGAATCTGCGCTGAAGCAGTGGCATTTGAGGAACTCGTCGAGTTTCGTCGGCTGCGTTCAAGGCGTGTTCCTCAATGAGATCTCGCAGGACATCATGAACGCCCGCAACAAGCAGAGAGTATCGCCCGGTTGCAGTCAGTTATCGACGAAGAAGCCCTGCGACGACCATCCGTGTGTAAAGGGCAAGTGTGTCGAGTCTTCCAGCTCGTCGTACGAATGCAAATGTAGACCTGGCTGGAGCGGACCATTCTGCGATCAAGGTACGTCGTTCGAATGTTCACCGGCCGTAGGCTATCAAATGGAAGTAGTGGACATTGGTGCAGTCGGAGTCGGATGAGCTCCTCGGCCGACCGCGACGTCAAACATTTACGATCATTCATCATTCGCTGGCTGGCTGGCTCATTGATGTCGCGACGTGGAGGAGGAAACGTGCGCTTCTCATACGAATAAATCGTTCCATTTCAGCTCCAACGTGCCAGAAACAACGGACCCACGACTACGTCCGGGACGAGGACGGTTGCCGTTCCGCCAAGAAGGTGAAAAACGCTCAGTGCGTCGGGGGTTGCGGAGAAGCGTGCTGTAGACCTGTCGCTCAGAAAACAAAGCGACGCCAAGTCAAGATGGTCTGCCCCGATCCGAGCGCGAGCTACACGAAAACCGTCGACATCATCAGGAAATGCTCTTGCACTACTAGCAAATGTTAGCTCCACAGAGGAAGAGACACGGAAATGATGCGATGCTGTAATCTTCGTATTTTCGATTCAATCGATCGCCCACCGGTTAATGTAAATTTGGGAATGAATCGGCTCGATCCATCCTTTCCCGAGCATTTGTTAGAAGACTTGCTCGTCGTCGTAGGACCGACGAAACAACGAACCTACAACAACGGCGTCGTCGTCACACACAAAAAAAAGGACAAGACAAATTATCCCGGAGTGAATCCGCGCTCCTTGCTGCCGCACTCCGGAACCGCCTCCACCAATCGGACTAAATAGACTATCGAAGAGCAGCGAGTTGAGACATCCTCACGAATGGGAAAGCGGACGATTGACGAATTATCTAAGAGTCCAGGACGCGGTGAAAGATGGATGAGTTCGTTTTCCGTCAAAGTTCCTTCAGGATCGCCTTCACGGAATCCTCAAGTGGGTGGGAGAAAAGCTGAGACTGGCGGCGGGGGACTCATTTTGACGATTCGAAATTTTTCCAAGGATTCGGCGATCGCTCCGGGGGAATGTGAGGAAGGATGGCGGTGATTCGCACGATTTCCCGTCGATACTCGCTACGCCGTGAATGATGTTTCGCTACGTTCTTCAAGCCTGAGTCACCGGAAGGCAAAAACGAAACTCCGATGTTTTGTTTGAATCAACCGTTTTATTAGCGCGCAGAAGCGATATGCGTGTGGATATTCTTGCGTAGGTGTGAGTGTGCGTGTGTGGAGATATGGGAGTGTGTTTGATTTTTTGGATATTTTTCCTTGGCCTGATTATCCTCTCGAGTTCATCAGCGTGTACATACATTGAATAATGATCCTATTTTCATTGCTTGTTCTATTGCATTTATCTTGTTTCAACCGACGGCAATGATGATTCATACTCGATGATTCTGTCCTCCGGCGATTTATCCGCATCGACGGAAGAGACTCACCTACGATGATTTCTCAAAAATGAGAAAGCCTACTCTTTCGCTCGATTAGTATATTCTTTCTGTTAGTGTGTAATGTAAATGTATATAAAGGATAAGATATACTTCGGAAAACGGAGACGACGGCGCATCGATTGCCGACGGGGAGCCCATTCATTGACTGAGGAGCGGGAGCAGGAGGCGCGACCGCTGAGGAGGGGCTAAGGGTATACTCGGAGTTTTCTCATGTTAGAGCACCTTGGTTCGCATCCAGGAAGGTGACAGACGAGAACGTTTTGCTCTCCTTGATGGCGTCTCATCATTGAGCATGCACCGAATTTTCGGAGTGTGCACGCTGACCTGTCGAAATCCCTCCAAGATCGTCGTAGGAATAAGCTAAAATGTTCTCCGACATCAATAGCGGAATCGCAGGAGCGTTCCGGAACGATGCCGTCGCCTATGTCAATGTCGCCAACACAAAGCTGCCGGCCACGCCTACCGAGGATTTTCATCCATAGCAACTACAGAGTGTTCCGCATACTCTGCTATTCGAGCGAGTGTTGACTTATAAAGTATATTTAGTCCTCGGTCGAGGTCCACATCGAAGAATTAGAATAATAATAATGATGATGATGATGACTATAACAATTATTATTACCATTCATATTAAGACGATCATGTCGATGATTGATGATATTATGGAGGAAAAATGGACTCACAATAAACGATGAGTAATGAACTTGACTCGGCTTCTGATTAATATTCTTCATTGGTATTCACGGCTGCATGCCGATGCATACGACCGCTCGTATCTAGAGCAGGGCTTGGATTCGAGAGAAAAACTTCAGAATCGTTCATCCCCTCTGACCATTCCACTTCCTCCGTGCGGCAAAAGTGACGGTCCGCGAAGAAGACGTTCAAGGCGGGGAAACGCAAGGTTCGGCAGATTATGCAATCGGAATAAAGCGATTACTCAAGTGACTGTCAAGAGCGCGAGGGACGTAACAGAAGTGTTCCCTTCACAAATTGAACTGAAACGCCAACATCTGTCCCCCGCGTTAGGTCTCTTGGACTTCAAACAGCACGACACGACCCAGTTGTGTCGATTCGTATCGAACCGATGGCACCGGTACGAGATAGATACAGAACTCATTCAACGTTGTACGGAGCGAAGATTTATGTGGCCGGCCAAAGTGTGCCGATGGTCACAGGCCCCGTTTGTCTTCAAGCGGTCACTCGCCAACTTCAATCCAAGATCTCAGCAGTCTCAGTCAGGGAAATTTATCGGAAGCAAGATCGATCGACTGCTTCCCGAGTATCCAACCATCTTCATAACATATGGACTCTCTGACCCTCTCGAAGCATCGGGAGCTGCGCGACTGCGTTCGGTCGGAGCGAAAATTTGTTTGCGAAGATTCCTCATAACCTCGAGACCCACAAGGAACACCTGCTGCAAGCCCGGGAAAATCAATTCTCAGCATTCTATTGTGCATTTGCGATATTCTTCGCTGCGTTGGAATTTCCCGCATGCCTGAAGAGTTCGACTGGGCTCGCAGAAAATTCTGGATCTCGAAATCGTCCCGGGGAAGAATTGGTTTTCCCCCCGCCGGTGAGTCGAGAACTAGTCCGGTAGAGTCATGCTAATATCTGACTCACTAGTTGAGCGGTTCCTGGCCCGTATTAGGAGAGAAGTCGCTCGGAAAGTAATAGTTCAGGAAGGGACCATGATGATTATCTATCGAAGATGCGAGCCCCGTACACTTTGGCGCGATTCCCTCGCGAGGGAAATTAGAAAGTTAATGGTAATAACGTTAGAAAAGACTCCCGAAGGTACGCCTCGACTGCTTAACGAAAATGTTCCTCTCCTTGATTGACTGACGCTTTATACGAGACCTGTTCGCCTCGCTAAATACTTATTAAGACTTCTCGACTGCAGACTGCGAGTCAGTGTATTAACGTTTCCACCCGAACGGTGCGGCGTCGATAGAATGGGGAATCGAAGCCCCATACGATCTTTTTGTCGCTCACTACACTCGGGAGAAGACTTCCGCTGATCTTTCTCAGTCAACAACTGCGGCACCTCATAAGGTCGCCGACGAGGCCGTCGTCCGCGTAAGCCTAGTATCTCTCTCATCCGAGGTGAATGAGTAGGTACTGATTCGGAGGAAGGGGAACCTTCGTCCCGTTTGTACTATAACATTCGGACAAGTACAGGAAGTTTCCAACCAAAGAAAACAGCGACCTCACTGATACCTTTGGACTCATCTGCTCGCTGCGAGATACTGCCGCTACTGGCCGACGCCGCGCTGGGATCCCTGAGTCGACGATTCGACTGTTGACAAAGCCGCTGCAGTGTACGTTGAGCCCAGAATTTATGTTCGACGCGCAGCGTCGATAATGCACCCGCTGCTCCTTTGTTAGCTTTCAACCTAAAAGGCAATTTGTAGAACGCTCGTTGTTCCCCGAGGACCATCCGTCATGTGAGCGCGGATATTGATTAACAAAACGGGTGACTATTTCTCTGCTCCCTCTACAGCGACGGCGGAGCTTATGCCGCACCGGCGGGATCCGATAGCCGGCTTGGGAGAACACCATGAAAGGGCCTTCGGAGATACTATGGAGTCACGATAGGGAAATACCGAAGAAACTCCCACGTGCTGAAGCCAAGCCGACGGGGAACCGGTCCGGCGGGCAGACCGCGCAAGCAGGGTCCGACTCATCGTATAATAACAAATAACATTGAATTATTTGATCTAGGAACCTACGATTTATTTGAGCGAGGGGTTATTCCTCTCACCGCAGCAAGTTTTCGTGGTCAAGGCAAATCGTGCGTAGGAGCGACTTTGAAAAGCGATCAAAGTCGAGGTTTCGGCCGATTCGAAGCCTAGAGAGGGAATTTCCGTCGCTCCGAAGTCTTCCTACACGACCTCTTCGAGCAGTTTTCCCCGAATCGTCGCTCGTAGTGAAGTCTTTTCCGTCGATTCAAGACTCGCGATGGATGCCACTCGGCATTCCCTAACTATTTTCCTTTTGCGCGAACGACAGCCTTGGACGAGACTGTTTTCCGGGCCGGTAGGAATGTTTGAAGCGACCTGATAGTTTTTCCTTGCCCCCGTAGAGAGTGTTCCTGGGAACTTCTGCATGCCACCTCCTCATTACGATTCGCTTCAGTCTGTCGTCCGCAACAGCGAATGTTCATGCAGCGCATTCCTCCGGCTAGTGGGAACGAGATGGAAAAAGTCACAGTTGAATTCAGAGAGTCGTTCCCACTGACAACACATCCAGCTGCCGTCGCCGCTGTCGTCTCGGCAGCACCTCTCCCTCTCCGTCTTTCCGTAGTCGACGTCGTTGCCGCCGCCGTCGCAACGTAGCTGCTTCCCTCTTGCGATGCCGACCGAATTGAAATGTCTCTAATGAACAGTTCTCCGCCGTGATTGTAGGGAACCTGGGGAGCGTCTCCTCTTTGTCTCCCGGCTCGGAATGAGAGGGAACGTTATTTAACCTCCAAATGGGATCCGAAGTGATTTCGTCAGCTTACGGACTGAATCAGTAGGTAGGTTCGTTTCTTCGTCCCGTTCATTGGTTGAAGCAGTCTCCGTTCTTCCGTTCGTCCATCCTGCTTCTCAGAGCAGGTTCCGACCTTGCAGAAAATAAGAAAATCCTCTCTCCTTTCCGGAAACACTGTACTCCTACCGGTTTGCTCTGCCCTCGTGCTCTGAGCTCAACAGACCTAAATAGCAATCGGGTCTCCCGCTCCAGAGATTAGTGTTATTGCTGTTGTCGTCCTCGAAACTCATGATTGATTGCACGTCCTCGTCCTTTCGTACTTGTTATTGTCATCGGCTTGGTCTGTGTCGCTGGCAGAGCTCTGCCCGTATCTCTCTATTCAGTCAAATGTTGCAAGGTTCTCCTCTTTACTCTCTTCTCCTTTGTTTGCGTTGAATAGCAGCACCTACCGAACAATGATAACTAGGAGACGCTCCACTACGCCGCTAAATGGAGCAATGCACTGGAGAAGGAGCCTGCGACGAGATAGAGAAAAAGATACGCCCGCGTTGGAATCGATTCCGTACGAATGCGAACG